TCCGAATCTGATTTTCAAATTTGCTGCCGACTTTTATTTAAAAAGTTATTCGAGATTTAGGCTAAAAAATTGACTAAATGTGGATTTTTTGCGTTATTTTTTATGTTGTCGTCACCTGCGACGTTAAAAATGGCTCGGTTACAGTTTTATAGGTGTAAGCGCGATTTTATGCAAAAAATCAATTGTTTTTGTGCAAAAAGCAAAAGAAATTGTGGAGGGAGGGGTTCGAACCGCCGCCCTATGCTTGCCAAGCGAACAGCTTACCAATGCACCATGGTGCCAACTGGGAACGTTGCTTCGGGAGGGTAGATAAGGGGCACAACAATACCTGGGCCCAGACAGAGAATAGTGGGCCAGCATCCGTATTTATGCCGTTTTTAAGCTTAATTTAGACCCCAAACGATTTGACCGCAGCAAATTTGGAAAACGGATTCGGAATCAGCAAAAAATTCTGAACAGGAAAGTCTTGGTCCCATTCCAAAACGCCAGCCTGAGTAGGCTAGCCTAGGCTTGGGCTTAGGTTTAGGCTTGGGTTAGGCTTAGGTCAGACTTCTGCTAAGGCTTGGGCTTAGGATTAGTAAAGCTTTAAAGATCATCATCCTCATCCCCCAGAACCGTTCACCCCAGCTTTCTTTTCCTGGGGGTTCAAATCAATCGTCCTTCACCCCTACCCATCCTCATCCTCGGTTTTCGACCGCCGCGGTGCTCCACTTCTCTCGGGGGCTTTTCCCGGCAAAAAATCCGGCTCATTTTATCACGCTTATCCGGCTACTTCCTTGTTTTTTTCTTGAGGGTTTTCGCTTGTTTTTTGAAATTTTAATTTTCCACTTGCCTCTCCGACCTCTTGCGCAACTACCGTACGCCTGCTTCCAGAAAAATGCCCTCCGGGACCGACAACCCAGGGTTTCGCCGGGAGCAAGAGCCGAAACGGATCGTCCGCGGGCTGGCTGACAGTATTTTGGTGTTAGTGGAGTTTAAAGGGGTGGTTAAGGCAAATATTGAAAATCCGCCCCTTGAAAAAATTGCAATCATTTTAAAACGTCTTCTTTGAGCGTCCTGTAATTTTAGGCAATTCTTAAAAAAAGCTCGGGTAGAAAAGTTAAAAATTGAAAAAGGTTAGAAAAACTGCAAAGCTACAAGCGACAAATGAAGGCGAAATACACGCTCAATTTCAGAGTGCCCGAATCGATCGGTTCCGAAAGCCCGCGGTCAATCAGGAGCTACCACAAGGTACGTATTGATGTAATTTCTTGAGAAAACTATCGGGAACGGAATAAATAATGGTAGAACCGGTAGAACTACAGTATCCATGTATTTTTTTGCAAATTTAGGGCAGCAGCGGCACGCTGACCGGCGGCGGCATCAAGGCCAACTACTCGAAACAAGTGGTGGGTGTTCTAGTGTTTTTTTTTTGTTTTGTTTGGGCTTCGAGCCGAGCGAGTTGTTCAAGGAGTTCAGCTCATGATATGGAAATGCCGACATCTGCCATTTTCGGCATTGTTTTTCGACATTTTCGGCATTTTGCCTATTTCCCCGGTCAGAGAAAATAGTATTTATCCGCGCGCTTTCTCTAATTTGCTCTCGACTACTGCTATGGCGCCCGCCAACAAATCAGCCTCCCCCACTCGAAATGTCCACTGATCGATAGGCCAATTACCAAGAATGACTGACTGGCCGACTGGCAGGGTTGAGTCGCACTCTAAAATTTTCAACGGATTTCGATCAATTTTGTACTTTTTACGGTCGTTCAATTTTGATAGAGCCTTGCTTAGGCAGGGCAAAGTTAGCATTAGGCTTAGGCTTAGGCTGTTAGGCTTAGACCCATCTTCTGCTCGTGATCAAATTTTGCCCGACGCAAAAACAGTTGATGGCGGTGTTCACTTTGAGGAGAGAGAGAGAGAGAGAGAGAGAGAGAGAGAGAGAGAGAAAGGCAGAGTGAGAGCCAAAGCAGTACCCAGGTAGCATGGGTCCTCTGTACAAACAGGGCCCCTGCAAGAGTCCATTTTTCTGTGGCCCACCACCCGTTCTTGCTCTAGCCGTCCTTCTCCGGGCCCTGGAACACTCAAAAGCCATCTCCTTCCCCCCAAATGCTTGATCGCCCCGGCTGAAAACTACTTGTCACTTTTGAGCCCTGGAAACCGTTTGGCACCGTTTTGAAAGAATCTCTGCTCGTTACCCCCTGGAAACTTAACTGCTTTAAGCTGTTAATAATATAAAATTTGTATTTTTTGTGTTTTTATGACGGCAAAATGAAACTTTTTACAAGCTCCTTTCATATTTGTTTTATGATTTTTTAAAACCAAAAAATCTAGGGTAAAAATGACGGCCTACAAGAGGCAAGTGGTAAGGAATTTTCGATTTTTCAAAAAATTATTGCTTTTCCAGGACATGAAACAGTACAAGGCGAAAATCGACAAACGGCTCGGCCACTGCCTGCTCGCCTGTATCGTCACCATCGCTACCGTACTCTGCGTTTATGGGGTGAGGATTTGGTACTGTACTGTTAGCGGGGGAGTTATCTAGCGGATGTAAAAATAAGCATTTCCGGTGCATTTTTATAGTGTTTTTTTGTAGTTTTTGATCAGTAAAATTTTTAGAAAATGAGGAAAAATTTACTTTTTTGGATACCGGAGTATTTTTATAAATTTTCTATGCTTAAAAACCGTTTAAAACTATATAAATGGCGTGATTCCATTACCGTAACCCCCATAACCTTTTTCAGCTGATCCACCAGTCGGTGCACACCGAATTGACGACGTACGTCAACAGGACACACCAGATTGCGAACGTACTCCGAGAAGGCGTCGAAAAACCGTTTTATTTTCGTTTAGGAGATGAAAACGGTGATGCTGGACGACTACGGTAAATTAGACAACAAGACGCTGGCCGCTATGGAGGGTCATAATTGGATGGAGGTGGAGGAATTGGAGCACGATGCGTATTTATTGGATCAGGTTCGTGTTGGTCTCTCTCTCTCTCTCTCTCTCTCTCTCTCTCTCGCTCTCGCTCAAATCCCAATTTCCAGACCCATTCCAAAATCTGGTGGCTCTTTTTCGGCAACGTGGTCATCGCCATCCTACTTACCCCGGTCCTTTTCCTCGTCCACTGCGGCTTCGTCGAGGGCAACGGGTTCAAGCTGGTGTACCGGGTTGTTGGTTTTTAGAATCCCCGAAAACCAATAATTTTAGATAGTGCTGCTGGCCTGCCTGATCTGGCTGTTTGCCCAGTTCTTCTACCTGATTCACCCGATTTTGTTTGGGGCTGCTCGATTCCCGGGGGTGGGTTCCTTCAGGATCTCTGCTAGCTTGCCATTGGTGATTCCCAAAGAGAATCTGCTAGCTTGCCTTGATAGCTTCCTGCCTGCTTGGAGCTTCAGAATTCCTAAGGGATCTCTGCTAGATTAAATTCCTGACGGATCTTTGCCAGCTGCCTTTCGCCTTCGGGATTCTTAAAGAATCTCTGCTAGCTTGCCGTTTCCCTTAGCAATTCCTAAAAAACTCTGCTAGCCTGCCGTCCCTCTTTGGGGTTTGAAGATTTTTTTTTTTTGGGGAAAAAAAAAAGGCCTGCTAGCCGGTTTTTAATTTGTTCCAAATGTTTTATGCTAGTCGCTTGGTCCTTTTTTGAAGAAAATTTGCAATTTTTATGGTCGATCTTGCTGGTAATTATTTATTTATATTTTATTTAAATTCAAAATTAAAAAAATGAAAATTCAGATGGTCGACCGCTTATTCGTGACCGGTTACCCGCGGGATGAATACCAACTGAACGACATCAAAGATGCTTTCTCGTGCGAATGGGTCCCCGACCCGGTGCTGGTCCGATTCGACCTACAGGTACTTTTAAAGGGCCATTCGAGGCAAAAATCCGCTAAAATTCCAGCTGGAATGCCTGCCCCGGATCAAAAACTCGCTGTTCCCGGCGTACGTGGCCATCCTGTTGCTCGTCCTCGACGTATTCCCCTTCGTTTTTGCGATTTTTATGTATGCGTGGAGCGCTTGTATCAAGGTGAGCGTCGTGGCTAATGAAAAGTTTTTCAAATTGAAAAAATCGAAAAACCATTTTCGGTACTTTTCTAATATGGGGGGGGTGCTTTTCCCTATATGCCCGTCATATCTGCCTGGTAGCATAATTTCAGTTTTGAAGGGGTTTTCAGTAAAATTTAGCCAGATTTCACGTGCAAAAATGTTTAGAAAATTAAAATTTTGAAAAACTTCGTAAAACCGTCTCTTTTTGGAAAGTCGATATAATTTTTTGTAAAAACAAAGCTGCTCGTAGTTTTAAGGTTAGATATCGTAAAAAATCTGTTTATAAACAATTACTTTAAGCTTTAAAAAATAGGTTTTAAGGAAAAAGGTGTGTTTCCCGGAAATACAAAATAACTTATCTTTGAGATAGCTTAAAACAATTATTTCTTACTCTAAATAACTCAATATTGGATTAAGGATTTGGATTTTAAGTCATATTTACTAACAAAATTCTTTTTTAGGACCACAAACACGTGAACACCCTGCGCCAGCGCGTGAATGTCAACAACCAGCGCAGGTTTGTTTTAGTCTTTACTTTAGACTTTGTTGGTTGTAGTTTTAAGAATTTTGTATAGTTTATACTTTTCTTTAGCTGAATTTAAAACTTAAAAGAATTCCGAAAAGCTCTAAAAATAACAGATTTATTTTTGTATAATGTTTCAGAGTCCACCTCCCCCGACATCAAGAAAACTACGTGCCGCCCAACCCGAAGCTTATCCATATCCCGTAAGCTACTATCGACTTTAGATTATACAAAATCTCGAAAAATAATAATCTCCTTTTAGGACCGACAAACACGGCCAATACCTGTGAATATCTACACCTTCTAACAACCACTGACGGGCCTGAGAATAGATGAAAAACTGGTGCTTCCCCTTTTTCACTTTGCTACATTTTCACGTACTTCCGGTGCATTTTAATAAATAAAGGGATTCTTTTTCGGATTTATAACTACAGTTAGGTCCATAGTACTCAAGCGGAGGGCTGATCTTCGGGCCGGCGGAGCTGGGCTCGAATTTGCCGGACGCGCGATTTTATGATATCCCAGGAGAAGTAGCAGCCCTCCAGCGTTCGAGCCTCAAAATATAATAGTGAAAAGCATTTACAAAATTACAAAATTTTTCAAAATTTTAACGAAAAAAACAAAATATGATTTTTGATACGGTTTCGACCAAAATTGAGCATTTCCAGACTTTTCTTGCTTTTGTAAATCGTTTTTGGGCTTGATAGATGACTAATTTTACTAAAAAATCACAAAATAACTTGTTACGCTGTTCAAAATCTGTACTTATCGAAAAGTAATTTAAAAAATGCAACTTTACCGATCCCTCCGAATTTCGGAAATTGTCGCGGGTGTGCAGAAGCCGCTTATTTGCCCATAGGACGGTTTCGCCTACAATTTGAAAAACTGAAGGGGGGGGGGGGGGAGAGCCCTTTTTGGTTTTTCCGTTTGAAGGTCTTGAAATTTTTTTGTTTTTAATCCCTGGCCCAGGAGAGGAGAGGCGAGCGGCAACGAAATTTGCGAGCTTCGGGGGGGTGGGTTTTGGCGCGTATTTAACAATGGTAGCTAATCGTAACGCAACCGCGACGCTGCACTCGAAAAAAAGATCCTTAAAAAACCACGCACCGTCTTGCAGCTGGAACTTCAAAATGTTCTCCGGCTCGTAGCAGTACTTGGTGAACAGCTTCATTGCGCTGAAAATTCCAGCTTTTTGTGGATGCCAATTAGATCCAGATCGTTAAATTGAAACTGATAAAACTAGAAAAATTAATGAAGATATTTTTGTACGGAAAACGAACTCGTAGATCTTCTGCACGTCTTCCGGCGGGCAGTCGTAGAACCACGAGCGCATCGCGTTTCCGAACTGCACCTGCACCACTTCCCCGGCGGCGTTTCTTCTGAAAATCAAGAATTTTGATTAGCTTCTTCAGTACTGTAATTTAAGTTATGATAAAACTTCTAAAATTCTAAAAAGCACCCAAACTACCGTACTTGAACACCGAGTGCCGGGCGGCCATTTTGAAGGGAAAATTCTTCGGTTGGCCGTCGTCACCGGCGTGCACGTCAAAGCCTAAAAATATCCAACTTTTCCTTGGGAACAAATTTTCGAATCTAATGAATTAAGTTTATCACAGATTTTTACTATTCTAAACACGACCCCATAAAATTTGGTTTGAAAATATTAACTAAAAAATAGTTTTTGTTCATAAATTCGAATTTTACAAGTTTTTAGACGTTTTTCCCCGAATCGATCTAAATTTGACTCCAGAACACGATTAAAAAATAAAAAAACCAGTATACCCGGAAATATAAAAGTCCGAATTTCGCCCACACCCACCCTCTTCAATATACTCGGTCGTATAGTTACACAACGTCTCGAAGACGTCCGGATGCCGCTCCCGCAACTGTAAATGGACATCTTTTTTAGGGTTTGTGCTAATTGGCACGTACCAGCTTTGCGATGTGGAACCCGTCGCAGAACAGGCTATTTCCACCCTCGGCCGCCCGCGTGACCATGTGCAGCATTTGGAGCTGAATGGGCTATTTTTGAAGCTACCGAAAAAAATTGGAAGCTCCTGGGGGGCTATCATTTAATAGAGTGTAACGTAAAATTATTGCGCTAAAATTGGACAACTTGGCCTCGCAATGGGCACCAAACGTATTTTGGCCAGAGTTTTGCCGCAAAAATAACTTTTTAGGGGTAGAAATGGCTATAATTTAGCGGCCAAAGCGCAGATTTGGGAAACAATGTAATTCTAAAATCGAAATATATAGCAAACTCTGGAAACGTCATAACGTCTACAATTATTAATTCGACAATTTCAACCAATATAATTTTTTTGCGCAAGTATCGAAAAATGATTCTCGAAGCTTCGAAACCCAGCTTCCGAAAGTCGCACCTGCGGCGGATCGGCTAGCGATGGAAAATCGGTGTGAAACGGCAGCTCCCCGTTTGATGCATAGGCCATATTCGAAGCATCAGCTTTTGTGGAAACTTCAAAAACTTTTCTAAACGTTGAAAACGTGGATTATCGAAATCGAAGAACCCACCCGAAATGCGTTCGATGGATGAGCAAAATTCGCTGGCCAATCTGCTCGACGGCGCCGCGTCCCGGGCCGTTCGTCAGCTTTGCGATCCCGTCGAGGCAAACGGCCTCCAGGAAATCGTGAAGCACGTTGTCATCTTTCAACATTTCGCCAAAATCGAACGTCTTTAGCCGCTTCTCGATGGTCCCACGATCCCAGGTGTCTTCAGGGAATAGGTAGAATTTTCTGAGGATTTGCTATTTTCTTTTAAACAAGTTTCACACCTTCTATGCTGCTTTGCTTGCTCGTCGAGCGGATTGCGTAGTCGAAGCCAATCGGAGGTGAAGCTGAAAAGTACGAAGGATTACCAAATTTATAAAAACCAGGCCAAAACAAAAAATTTTACCGGCTCATATGACCGCCATCCCACTCGATCAAAATAGATGTGCCGTCTTCGGTTGGCTGCAGCTCCTTGATCGAAGGGCGAACCTGAACAGAGGCTCAAAAGGTTTTCAAAGGCTTAAAAAAGCATATTTTGCATCAAATAAAAACTCACGTCAAAGTCGCGCATCCAAAAATTCCGGGCTGTCATCGCCGGCGAGAACGTGTAGGTGATCGGGTCCGGCGAGCAATCTCGCAACCAAACCAGCGGAAATCGCCCCTCTTGGCCTAGACGAATAGAAAATATTTTATTATTTGGTAAGGTTTACCATCATCCCACTGCACCTTCAATAGCCGATCTAAACCCTCCTCCACAGCGACAATTCGCGGCGCCTTTGTCGCGTACGCTCGCGCGGCCCTTGAGTATAGAAATACACAATAACAACTAGCAAGAAACTTACAATGGCCAAAGTCGCTGCAGCATCTCCCCAGACTTCCAGCGCCCGCGCAAGTACTGATGAACTATGCCCTAACACCATCGCCCATCGATCCCCCTCCTTTCTTATCATAGCTAGCTCTTTTTACCCTGCATGCTGCCCGTTGACCCCATTACTCCATTCGCTGTTGTTTCCCCCTGTTTAAACACACGAGTAAAGGGGGAAAATTTATGGCAACCCCAAAAATTAACACAAACATCAGCCAATTAGTAAAACGATAATCGGGTCGGGGAAAAAAGCCGGGGGGAAACGCCTCCAGTGGGCGCAGGTGATTACGTTACGTAAAAATACTTAATCAGCAATAGGGGTCGGTTTTAGTGAGGGGCGTGCTTGGGAAAGTGGGAAGAGTAAGAACATTAAATTACAAGGTGGACACGGGCACAACACAAAACAGGGCCGGGCGGGGATTAGTTAGGATAATAATTGCACGTACACGTATTTTATCACACGTCTTGTTGATTAGTTTGGAACGGGGGGTGTCAAAACTGGCACGGCGTACGTGGCCATGGAAGCGAATGCAGCGTGCTCTAACGAAGCAGGTCGCTAGGCGAGAAGGGGATGGTGCACAGCTGATGCGCGCTCATAAGATGCTTCTTCGGGGTGGCCAGGCTCTTCTCCAGGAAACCATCGTCCTCGATGAAGGAGCTATCGTGGAGGAAGTCGAAATCGATGTTGACTCCCTAAAAATTTGGAATATAGGTGGAAGACGGTAAAAACGAGCTAAATTTCGAGACAAACTTACACTAATATCCTCCAGATCGAATCCGTCGCCACTGATCGAATTAACCGACGACATGGAAGAGTGAGTAGAGCCGATGGTGTTGCAGAGACCACCCGAGTAGTGCGAGAAGCCCACCTAAAAAAATATACGAATTATTTTTCAAAAATGAACCGTCGGGAAGTCGAATAGCTGCTGCTCAGCCGGCGTCGAATTGCCGCTGACGTAGCCAGAGCTTGGGGTAGACTTGAGGACGCGGCTTCTAGCCCATTGGTCCGGGCTCGGGGTTCGGCCGATGTAGTCAAAGGCGGGCTCCGTCTTCAGCGGGAACGAGTTATCGAAGACCATGTCGCTAAAAGAAAAGTAAAATTAGAGAAACCGATGACATACAGAAGACTCGGCGGGCTTCCGGCGCGTTCCTTCAGCTTCTGGTCGATGGGCCACGAGGGGTGGGGGCGCAGACCACGGCTAGTAGTCGTGCCGTAGCGGCCGTCACCGGCACGCAGCGGCGTCTGTTGGTTGCCGCTGGGAGCACGCAGCTTCTGCATGTAGCTCTGCTTGCCCGGCTTCGGCTGCGGTACTCCATGGATCTGGGTGGCGTAGTTGGCCTCGGCGTGGCGGTTGGCGATTTCGGCTTGCTCAAAAGAAAAAATTATTAGAAAACAATAAAAATTGCTCGAGCATTTCACCAGAATAGCGCATAAATCATAATGGAGACAGACTCTAGCGATGCACTGCCATTTTCTGTGATTTTGCGCAAAATCTCCACGGCAAGCTTTGCGCCGGCTAAATACACAGGAAATGGGACCATCCCAGAACAAGAGCATTTGCAGGAAGAGCTACAAATTTCCGTTTTCTTCCCAAAAAGAGCAAAAAGGTCTCCCATGAAGCAAAAACAGAAATATTACCTTATCCGGTCGAATATATGCGTCAATGTCGCCATTCTCAGCCTCAGGATGAATAAACAGACACCTAAGAACCCGTAAATATTCCGCAAGATATGAAAAACCTTTTTCCATAGGGACACACGCCTGTAGTCGTATACTTGTCGCACAACTTGGTTTTGTACTTGTTGACAGATTTCGGCAAAACCCTAAAACAAATCTAAAAAAATCAAGGCTGTTGCCTTACGCAGCCGGACGAAGCTCCTCCTCGCCGTGGGCAAAACGGCAATTCTCGTTGAACAGGCAGATCCTCGTCTCCAGCCACGACTGGCACATCACCGTCTTGTAGCAGTCCGTGCGACCCTTCTTCTTGCCATAGTTTCCTTGATTTTGGGAGTTAGCACTAAAGAAAAAAAAACGGTGTTTTGTAATAAATGGCTTACCCCAGGAATGCATAGATGGGCTGAAGCATTGCACTGGTTGATGCAGAAATGCTGAAAATGAATGTTCAGAAAGTGTCGTGGGATTGTGGCCACCAGGGAAAACAAAAATTTGAGGAAGCAAAAATGGAAACTACGAAGCCAAGAATGAGTGCCGATCATTTGCTACTAGTCATTAGCCAGCGGGATGTAGTCGCGCAAGCTGCAATTTACAGGCTAGGCGGAAGATTGCAATAAGGGGCCCCCGGATGCGGTGCCAAACGCCAAAAATCAGAAAGATCGGGCAGCGAAAGTTGTACAGGAAAAGAGGACCAACGGCCGGGGGATATTTACAAAATAGTCTGAAGCACACTAACGCTATCTCGGATGCCCTCTTGCTAGCAGTGATATGGGCTAAGCGCGAGGTCACCGACAAACATTCAGGACGAAAACTTGCTGTACAGTTTAGGCGCGTTCTGCACAGCCGGGAGTAAAAATATAGCACTACTTTCGAGGTCAGCTGAAAGTCAGCTGGCTGACCACAAGACCCCGACAACTGTGCGCCCTCAGGGGATAAATCCGTTGCCAGCCGCTGCGAAAAATCGGCAAAATAGACGGCTAATTGCATCCCGATGCGTTTCCCAGTAACGCAGAAGAATGAGAAATACGGGTGCCCACACAATTGGAAAACCACCCTTTCAATTCGAAGCTCCCGCGTATTAACGACTCCATAATCCCAGGCGAAAAAGCAAATGATTCCCGCACCCGACAACGGATTGACCTGAGGAGAGCGCGTCTAAAAATGGACAGACCCCTTTGTATAAGTTCCTTCTGAACCATGAATGAACCGCCCCGGCCCTATACCAATGCCGGCTGTGTCAACAAGGAAAAAAGGGGGGAGACTGGACGACGGCGGGGGAACAAAGAAAAATCCACAATTTCAAAACAATAGCCGCAAGTAAAGAGGAGGAAATACAACAAGCCGGAAGGCATCAACTGTTCCGGGGTCAAATCGCAAAAAATTTGGGCCGGGCGCAAGTATGAAAATTTCGACCAGGCGGCTGGGAGGAAATTTGAAAGTGCGACTAGGGAACCGGTCCAGGCGCGCCACAGTAGGGCTGCTAGCCAGACTATGGGAGCTGTGCGGCACGGCTAACATAGGCAGGGCATGCTAAAAAACAGGAACTCAAACCGCTCGGCTTCACGCGGCACAGGATCAGCCGCGAGCCACCGACGGCTTGTAAAAGCACCCGGGGATATAGATGCGCATTGAGCGTGGCGATGGCAAAAGAAAACAAGGCGCAGAGATCCTCACAAGCTATAGCCGAGCCCCGAATTCTGACTGTAATTTCGAGGCTTAGGAATCATACATTGCTGATCAAGAATCTCTAGTAGGTCCGGCTGTCAGGAGGAAATACCAATTAGAGGGTGCCGGCGAGCACCCTGCGCCAAACGAAAGCAGTCATTTTCCCGCCAAATACTGGTCATGAACTTGAGTCGCGCCATGGTTTCACACCGCCCGGTGATCAAAGATGTGAAATGCGCGAGAGAACGTATAGCAGGCAATCAAATATCAGGGACAAGTGAGCGGTGATAATGCGCTAATTCATAGGGGGGAAATAATTAGGTAGGTGGCGCGACGATCGGAGCTAGCCTCACAGTGCATGGGGCGAATGCAAGAAAACTGAATGCCATCCATCCTGGCAGACAGAAAGGGCTTCAAAGAACGAAACGAGGGGCAAGATCTCAATCCCCGCGGCAAATGGGGAAATCATCGCGAACATTTGGCGCGAAAGAAAATGGAAAAGACAAGGAAGATAAAAGAAAGACCTGCGCAGCGTAGTACGCTGACAACTTCATGACAGAGTTCGTAATTTGCATTGCAACGTTGTTCTTGCCCGACCGTAATTTGGAAACTTTCGTAGCGTAAGCATTTCAGTTTTCTGTTTTGGAAACTCTTTGTAAATGTGTTTTCTTTGTGTATGTCTGTATAGCTCCCAAAAAATTCCTTCGTGTTCTGCGGCCCATGTATAGAAAAATCTTTATCCCATTCACAGAAATTATTAGATTCACAGGGGGAAAAGGCACAGCAAAACACAAGGGTACACGTAAGAGCTCTGGTCAAAACGAATGCGAAAACAGCGTGAAACGGTCGAAAATTGCACGATATTTGTATGACACGTAATATACTGAAAGCTGGAGGTGGGCGCCCGGATTCAAGCATGATGTGGGATTGTCGGCTTCTTGGGCTCGAAACCGTAGAGGAATGTCGAGAGGATGACGATCGTCGCACCGACAACGAAGGCCCTGAAAATAACGGTTTCGAAAAAGTATTGATATTTATCTTCCAGGGAAACGCAAATAAAAAACTTACAACGAAGGCTCGAAATCACCCAGAAAGACCCATGAGATGAAGGATGAGATGATGATTGAGAGGGACACGGCGAAGCCCTTGAGGATGTTGTCTGCGTACTTCACCACCAGCGCGATGACTAGACCTCCGTAGGCCTAAAAAAAATAGGAATTTCTGGAAATAACCCAAAAATCTACCTGGAGGCCGACAACCACCCAGATGATGTTGTTATATCCTTGGAAAAAGCCGTTGGTGGAAATTGCCTCGCTGTCGTAGAGCCAGCACATGAAGAATCCACCGAAGATCGAGAAGAAAGCTAAACAAATGACCGCAACTGTGAAGTGGATTACCTAGTTGCAGATTCCTCATCCACAGTGTAACATTGGTCGTCTTGAGGATCTTTTCGAAATAGACGCCGGCAAACCCGGAGGAGAAGCAGGCGGCCAGGACAGCAAGAAGACCTAAACTCAACATTTAGAAACAAGTTAAAAATTCACCAATGAATTTGTCGGATGACCCTGCATCATCAACGGTCTTTTTCGCGCTGTCACCGGAGGGCATCTAAAAATAAAAAGATAAAAAACAACAATGAGTCAGTCACCTGGACAAGAGC